TTGAAATTCACCAAACCCCTACAACCGGCCCTGACACCCAACGAGGAGCGCATACTAGAGTAAGTGGTCCCCCTTGAAGCGTCATATGGAGGAGAAGGCGTAGGTGTTGTGTGCCAGTCACAGTGGAGGTGGCATTGTCTGGTCGACCAAGTGATGCAAGCAGGATGCAGTTTGCATGACAGCGTCCGTAGAATGTGTTGATACTGTAGCAGGTGGTGGGAGGAATTGGAGGGATTTGGGGGTGGTCATGAGATGTGCAAGGGTGTGAGAGGGAGGTGCGAAGTGGTAGTTAGATGCATCGATAGGAATGGGAGAGTTGGTGGTGGGAGTTTGTACAACTTGTCAATTTGCCCTAGAGACGTGGATGTCTTGTGTGTGGTGATGAGGCCTTCCAGAGTGACATTGCATGTAATTCTACCTGGTGTAGGTTGGAGTGCGAAATTCAGGCCGATTTGAAGCCAATAACAGTGAAGTGGACACACAATGGTCAGGAATTGCAGCGTTCCGAGCGTTGCCAGGAGGTGTATGTGGAGGAGCAGGGTGTTGCTCGGCTGACGATAAGGGAGTTCTCCCCCAAGGACGTCGGTGAATACACCTGTGTGGTGAGTGGTGAGGTGATTGAACCGGAGACGGGAATGCTTCGCCAAGCGAAAACAATCACCACCACGACAGTGGCTGAGTTTGCAGGTGAGTGGGATAGCGGTGTGGAGGGATGATGCGGACTGCCAATTGAGTGTGGCTGTGATAGTGGAGGTGTGCTTCCCCATTGCAGAGGAGATTCCAGTTGTGGAGGAGGCTAAGCCCACAGAAGCGGTGGAAGCTCAACCGAAAGTGCAGTTGGCGGAGCTGAAGTTCACAAAGCCTCTACAGCCTGCATTGGCACCGAACGAGGAGCGTGTGGTTGAGTAAGTGCTTTCTTCGTCATTGCTTCCTATCAGTGTGTTGTTGTCGTTGCATATTTGTGAATGAGTGGGTTCATCGGTGGGAGAATGGACATTGGGGTGTGTGTGTGTTTTAGGATGGAATGCGAGATTCAGGCCGATCTGAAGCCAGTCACGGTGAAGTGGACACACGATGACAAGGAGCTGCAGCGCTCGGCTCGTCTGGAGGAGGTGTTTGTGGAGGAGCAGGGTCTAGCCAAGCTCACCATTAAGGACTTCACTCCTGAGGACGCGGGCAAATACACGTGTGAAGTGAGTGGCGAGGTGATTGAACCCGAGAGTGGCGATCTGCCACGCGCAAGGACAATCTCCACGTCAACTGTTGTGGAGGTGGCCGAAACGATGCCGGAGGTGGA